GCCAGCTACTGTTTTGTGTTCTCCCCATGGACTGTTCCTCCGGACCGTTGCTCCACTCTCCCCTCCCAGGCAGATCATTGCTCAGTCGCCTATCTGTTCCACTATTGCCTTCATCTCTCTGTCTCTACCTTCAGTAGCCACAATCACCACCGACCAGTCCAGGAGTGACCCAGCCTACGCAGCTTGGCCCAGCTCTCCATCTCCTCGCCTCCTGCTGTTGGTCAAACACCCGGCTACTACTCATCAACAGGACTACGCACTATTTCCTTCTGTGTATTTTTACTCTCATCATCACTGTATATAATAAATCACTGCTTGCACCAAAGTCGGCTACCTGGGTCCGCCTCTTTCTTGTTCGCTCACTGACAGGTGCAAACGGCACATAACAGGATTATGAAACTGAAAGGTGGTGAATGAGTAGGTCAAAGTTATGGATGCATGGGAAATAGGATAGCCTCCAACAAGCTGGTGACATTGTGATGGATTTTGATGATGATGGTGAGCTGATGTTTATTACTACCAAAGGGCTTGAAGTGTCAAATTGAAAGACACGGGGGAGGTGGAGATCCAGTCTGGCAGACAGTCTGTTCTTTTATATGACTTTCCCTATAATATTAGTGTCCAGAAGAAACAGCGTTGATATAGTAGGATGGTTAAACCTTAAGATTCCTTGCAGAATCAGAGCCATAAAAATTATAGTTTTCAGCTCAGAGTGATCATTATTCTTATGTGATACTTATCTCTGCAAACACTGTTCTTTGTAACACTAGAGAAACACACTATGTTATTACATGTATTTTAATGCTTCTACCATCATGCCTTCCTTCTCTTTCTAGTGTATGACTCCGCCTCACAGCCCCAGCTTTGTTGATTCTTCAGCATCCAGCACTGCCCCCCAGTTAAGCTCCAGCCTGGCTGTGTCCTCACAGTGCCTTGGGTCTGTGCTCCATCAGCCTGGCCTGGCACCCACTGCTGAAAAGACCCCCTCCCTTCCCCCTCCACCACAGCACTGCAGAGCAATGGTGACCAGCGTCATCCGTCACACTGCAGACAGCACCCCCTGCCAACACCACATTCCAGTGACCCCCAGTCCAGGGAAAACTCTGGAAACAGTAACGGCTACAACAGTCTGCCAAAAGCAGCAACTGCCCCAACAGCAGCAGCAGCACACTAAGAAGACTGAGCAGATAACCACACCTCCATCCCCTCCTGCTCCTCTCACACCATCAAAAACAGAACAGCAGCCTAGTCCCTCAAAAACCTGTTTAGACAGTGTCTCTCCCTCCATTCCTGTCAACACCCAACCACCTGTTCGTACAACCCTGTCCCCATCTCCAGTCACCAGCCCTCAAATCATCTGCCACATGTTCCCTGTCAATAGCCAGTCAGGGATAATCTCAGCCTTTATCCCCAGCGCAGTTCAGACATCCAATACTGGAATTCAGACCACCACCACCACATCCATCCTTCCCCAGCCCACATCAGCTAGCACCACCCCTGTTCAGCAGTCGCTCATTGTGGGCTCCACAGTGACACAGGGTACAGTCATGCTGGTTGTCCCTCAGTCCTCAGTCTCTCAGGCCCCTCACTGTCCTCAGACTGTCATGACCCTGGGCCACACCAAGCTGCTACCTCTGGCCCCAGCCCCTGTGTACATGCCAGCGGGGCCCAGTGGCAGCACAACGGCCACAAAGATGGACTTTTTACGCAGGAGAAACTATGTCTGCAACTTCACAGGCTGCAGGAAAACATACTTCAAGAGTTCGCACCTCAAGGCTCACCTTCGAACACACACAGGTGAGCATTTTACAGCATGTCAGAGAGTTTAGTGTGGTTGAAACTCATGAGAATGTGGAATTAAATGTGACTACCACAGACGTGTTACATCCTGTTTTTAAAACATTCTTTCCTTGACCTTTTTTAGTCTTGATGGGAAGAAACTCAGCTCACTGTTTTGTGTCACAGAAATGTGCAAAGCTTTTATGACTTCAGTGTGACTCACTTGCTCACTCTCTATTCTTCTTGTTTTTTTCATCCTTAGGTGAGAAGCCTTTCAGCTGTAGCTGGGATGGCTGTGATAAGAGGTTTGCCCGCTCCGATGAGCTCTCCCGTCACCGACGAACACACACCGGAGAGAAAAAATTTGTGTGCCACGTCTGTGACCGGCGATTCATGCGCAGTGATCACCTCACCAAACATGCCCGTCGCCACATGACCACAAAGAAAATTCCCTCCTGGCAGGCCGATGTTCGGAGTCTGAACAAAATGGCTGTTGGTAAAATGCCTCCCTCAAAACCTGGCCTTGCTACACTAAGCATGTTGGTACCTGCTAACCCAAAGTAGACAATGTACACTGCCATCCTATCCACTCCCAGGATATGACAGGGACACAGCAGCTGAGCACAAAAAGGCTGCTGTTTTTTTAGTCATGGGAATGACAGAAAAAATGTGCACTGGACTCTTTTTTTCTCTCCACTGCTTATTTGTACATTTATTTTTCTTTAAAGCATTTGTTTTTTACTTTAACATAATTGATAATATGTATACGCTCTTGCCAAAGCCTATATATCAAGTTTGTCTTATACATTTTGCCTTCCTGCAACACTTTTTTTCTGTGTTCATACTAATATATATGTCTATGTGAATGTATTGTTTGTTGTACCATGGAATTTATTATTTGTTATATTTGGGAAAATATTGACCTGATAAGAAATGTAAATATGAATATTAATCAATGATACTATGATTATACCTTGATTACATCTCTAACCTTTTGTATAATTTAATACATATTTGTAATAAAAAGGATTAAACATGTAATTCTTTGTGCATTTTTGTGCTCTATCCAAAATCTAATCCAGGAAAGACAAGGTGGGGGGTCAGCAGTCTTTCCCACTCTTTGCACGCATGAATGTAGTGAGTCCACATCCTGTGTGCGTCACATGATGACTCCCCCGCCACTGGCCTGTTTTGGTCAGCTGAAGCTTGTGCTCTGCCAAATGTGCTGACTAGCCTGTGGGTAACTCCCTGCTGGCTGAATTGTATTTATTTATTTTTTTGTGTGCTATAAAAGCCCCTTTGGTGAGACCATCTGGTGATATGTCCTGTGTGTTAGCTCAGAACCAGAGTGCTTGTTGAGTCAGAGCAGACAAAAGCAGTCTGATATGTTTGCCTTGTACTGGAGTTCATTATGATATCATTTGAGCCTATTCTGCTCTGTCACGGGGGAACGAGGATAATACAAGGCAGAGTTTTGTTCATAAAACAATCTCACATCAGTTTGCTATAGTTTAGCAAACACCTTGTTATGAATAGTGGTTGAAAATGAAAAGAAACAGTTGCTCCTAAAGACTTCAGAGGCCTAGAAATTACATGGGATATGAGAAAGTAGTTTTCCTTATCCAGACTTAAACCACAAAATTTGGAAGTGGAACTGCTATAACCTAAACTATAAAATTAAAACTATTAAGATGATGCTCTGTCTCTTATACAAACAGTAATAATCAGTGGTCTTAGCAACAGCACATCGCTTCCAATCAGAAACGGAGAAATATGAAGTGTTGGGGGTGCGACCAATCACCTCTCTTCCCTACCTACCCGCCCCTTTGCCTCACTGTCCGTGTACCACCTGTGCGGTGGTCTACAGCGACGCCTGGTGGTTAGGAGACCCCACCGCTATCACAGTTTAAGACGAGAGGCTACTTTGACGTGCATGGACCGGTTGTATACATTTTGTTTGTTCTTTGCCAATATGTGTAATTAAGTAATTATCTGGAGGGACAATGTAATAAACAAGGTAAGTGCGGGCCCTAACTGTACTAAATGGTGTTTTGTAGTAGGACACAGTAAGTCTGTCTTTGGAAAGTATTCAGGCCTTTACACTTATTGTAGGCTATGCAGTTTTAAACTGAACTTTATATTTAGTTGTCAACAAAATAACCCACAACTAGCCTACAAATACAAGTCCTAAATTATTTCCTGTCATTTATGTAGCCTCAGTATTAAGATTTTTGTTACAGCGTTCCAAACGCAGGTGCATCATGTTGGTCCTTTCTCAACAGGCCAAATGACTGGACAGGATTTAGAAGGGCACACGTGTAAGGTTCTAATTCTATAATTCTAATAAGGTTCTAATTCTATAATTCTAATAAGGTTCTACATTTCAGTGCCATAAGAGTAAACACATTTACCACAGTTAAGTGCGCAAAAACTCACTTTCGAAGCCACTATAGACGTGTGTGTGTGTGGCATAGGCTTTTGATAATTGTTTCTCATTTTATGGTTAAAATCATTCATCAATCACAACCTCTCCGGTTTACCGGAAGAAAATGTTTCTCGGGGAGGGGTTTTGCTGATACACCATGGACCCTTGGTGTTGCTCTGTTGCTATGGTTATATCAACGCAACTGGAACATCGTTTGTGGTCGTACAACGCGAAATAAAACAAATTGATGACCATAAAACCAAGCAAGTGCCGCGTATTTATTTAGATTTAGCAAGATCAGCTTGCAGCAAATAATGTATTTAACATTTTAACACATTTAAACGTCGCTTCTATGAACGTTTAGGTCACCAAATTTGGGCGCTAATCTTCAGCATGGAGTTCGGAAAAACGTTGAAAGAACTAAACATGACCGTGGATGAGATGGACAGATTGTCAAAAGCTTTTAGAGATGAAAAATTCAGGGAAATGATACGCGATTACGCTCAAGAAATATCAGACCCCGAGAACAGGAAACGGTATGAAGAGGAGATCAAACTTTTGGAGCAGGAGAGAGGAAACAGCATCGAGTTTATCCACCCGAAGCCATTTAAGGCTCTCAAGACGAGTGTGGACGGAAAGCTGAAGTGCTTTATTAATATCTGCGGCAATGATAAAGTTGGAACGCCTGAATGTAAGTGCGGTGTGTCGGATGATGGCCGCAGAGGGCAGTGCTGGTCCTTGCCCCACAGTCTGCACCCTGGGAGAGCAGACACAGATCCAAAAGGGAACAAGATTGTGATCTATGATGTTATTTTCCACACTGACACTCTCCACATAGCAAGCAAAAATAAGACGTTCATGGATATGGTGGACAGCACGGCCATTCAAAGTATCCAGGACGCTTTTAAAGTGACTCTGGACAGAAACAACGTGAGGCAGATGAAAACCAAGTACAAGGGCACCCCTCAGCCTTGTGTCATACGAAAACCTTTGCCAGGATACAAAGCCAAGGAGCCCACAGAGAAGCCTGACCCTCCTGCTTTCCCATACCCGGATGAAAAAACACCTACCACATCCTTGCAATCCAAACCTGCAGAGTCACCTGCAACAAAAAGCAGCACTGATGCCAAACTCAAGAGCTTTCAGATTCAGCCTCAGAAAACCAAAGAGCCAACAAAGCCAAACTACACAGTAAAATATCGATCTTTTATTGATCTGCAAGACTTCAGGTGTTCCAGAGACTCAGTCAAGAGCCCCAGACCCAAAGAGATAGTGGTCACCATCGCCATGCCGCTTGTGAAGTCAGTCTCAGACATCAGTCTTGAGGTAAAAGAGAAAAGCCTGCTGCTGGAATGCAAGAAGCCAGCCTACAGACTGGAGCTGTCTCTTGCCTACCTTGTGGATGAAGATAAAGGAGAGGCTAAGTTCAACAAACAGAGAGGGCAGCTCACAGTCACACTGCCTGTTCTTCCATCTAATGAGACTTTTGATTTATCTTTAGGGCCTGCTGAGACTATTGGTGACGTTCAGAGTGTAAGTGATAGTGAGTGGCAGGCAGAGGAAAGTGGAGAGGAACAGGAAGAGAAGGAGAGGGAAGGCAACAAAAGTGAGGAGAAGGAGAGGGGTGTTGGTGAAGAGAAGGAAAAGGAGGAAAGAAAAGTTGAAGAGCACAGTGTAAAGCAGCAGACGGTGATGGAGAAAGGTGAAGAAGAAGAAGAAGGTCAGGAGAAGGGAGAGGAGCAGATGTGGAAGGACACTGACCGTGTAGTGGGTGAGGGGGGGAAATGGAGCCAGGGACAAAAAAGCAAAGGAGATGAAGCTGATGTGGAGAAAAAGGCAAAATGGATGAAGCCAAACAGCAATGGCCAAGAATGTGTGGAGGAGAAGAGAGGAGCTGTGGAACAAAAAAGTGCCAATATTTATGAAAGTGAAGTGGAGGAGGAACGGAAAGAGCAGAAGCAGGAAAATGAAGAAGAAGAAGGTGGAATATTTAATTTACACAAGAGGCAGGACAAGAAAAACAAAGATAAACATAACCTGCTGAGGGACAATGGATGTGACAGGGCAGCAGAGAAAACGGCTTTTGGTATAACAGGTTTTCAGTCTGATATTGATTCTGACCAGCACACAGGCTCGTGTGTGGAAGAAGCAAACTCAGTGACTGTCCATAACAGGCTTGTGGCTTCACATATAACTGAAATCCAGTCAGATTTCATCACTGCAGAATATTCAAGCTGCATGGCTGGGGAGGAAGAAGTAAATTTGGACTCTTGTTTGGAGACTCTACCTAAAAGAAAGACTTCAGACATCCAAGAGACAGAAGAGACCATATGTAGAACTTTAAAGGTGAGAAAAAATGTTGACAAATCCTGACACCTGAGTTGAAGAGGCTGTGGAAGTACAGAGGTGTGATTCAACTAAGCTGCCCCTAAATTCTTTCTCCTTTTGTATGATTCTGTTCTAGGTAGAAGCAGATGCTGCATTTCTGAAGCACACACCCAGTGAGGAATCCCACACTGCTGCTGCTGTGTCTGCCACACCACCCACCACTTTGAGCCAAACCATCATAAAGGATGACTGCATTTCCCAGGGGACTCAAGAGTTTTACAATGCGCCTGCAACAGATAAAGCCAATGCATCAAACACAGGAGGTTCAGGTAGCAAGGCCCTGCCCCCTCCAGAGGAACTAGCCATGGCCTCAGAGAAGAGGGAGAGGGAGGACGTAGATGAAGATGACCTGCCAGCAGAGCAGGACAAGCCATTACCTGTCTTACTCAGGGAAATTGATAAAGATGGAAACGAAACAGTCATCAGTGATCACTCCACTGCTGGAATCATCTTCCAAAACACCATGATCTATGAGCTGGACTGAGGACTGTGCACAAGAGTTTGTTTTTTTTAAAGTGTTTTCCTGCATTTTTGAATCCTACAGTTTTGAATTAAAGTGATAGTTAATCTCATTAAATGTTATTACCTCCACCAAGATGTTATGATTTTGGTCCTGTTTGGTTTTTGTTTGTTGGTTAGCAGGATTACAAACAAAAACTGCTGGATGGATCATTAGCATACTTTGTACTGACATTGGTGGGGACTAACCCTAGAAGTCATTAGATTTTGGCTGAAAAGAGTCAAAGGTCAAGGTCACAAAAAAAGTTGTCAAAAGTTAGGTTTCATTTCAAATCTGACACACATGTAGGGTGACAATGTCTATCACCAGAATAAATTTCAAGGTGGAGGTACATGTGCTCTCTGAGTGCTCTTGTTGATATGTGTAAACCCTGAGTTTTCTCCTCAGACACAAATCCATGAAAAAAAATGACATGCATTGTAAACCCCAAAATAAACTACTCAGAACAAGATAATGAATACTTTTATTTTTATTTTTGCATATATGTAAAACTTGTGCTCCATTAGTACAATAAAAAACAATTTCATTTAGCTCACAATCATGGACCCTGAGGCAATGTGTTCAGGAAATTCAGCTAATTTCCTTATTCCACTGTCTATGAACAAGCAGTCAGTAGGGGGACCTATAGAACAAGTCAACATCTGACAGTAATTTTGTGTTGCTGCCCACTATCATCACATACAGTCCGTGCCCAGGAAATACAGGCAGAACGCATGTGATGGTACTTAAGCTGGTCTCTTACCCCATCCTTGATATGTGGGAAGTGCATCATATGATGAATGTAAGTGCAGAACAGGCAGCTTGAAGCTCTTTTCAAAACAAAGCTTAACAGAATTGGTACTGTGGTTTCTTTAGCAGACATAAGAAAACTGCTCCACTGAGCTATTTATTACCACAGATTTCACTTGTCAGTATCCGATACCCTCACAACTTGCACACTAGTACAGTATATATACATAGCAGTTTCTTTTCAGCTGTTGGTGTGTTTTCATAAAACTAGAGTGTGTTCTTGTTTATCTGATTCCTCTCTGGAGGGAGGTGTCTAAATATTCAGAGTAGCAGGAGAGGGAGCAGAAGTGTTGCTGCACTGGAGCGTCTGTGCCTCCCATGTCGTCCACCAGGACCACCGTGTGAGAGACTTGGTGCAGGTTCATGCTGACCGCTGTCTTGATGTAGAAACTGATGCAGACTCGGCCACAGTCGCAGGTCTTGGCTACTTCAAGGTCCCGGCACAAGTGGGCAGGAATGAGGTGAGGTCCGTATGGTATCCTGTGAAGTAAATCAGAAAGGAGCTGTAAAAAGTCATATACCACAGTGAGACAAAAAAAAAGCTAGATGTACTGGAGCACATTTAATTCTAACCTGAGGTTGGCCACAGCTCTAGAAGCAATCTCTTGGAGGGGAAGCGGGAATGTGAGCTGCATTGTGTGGTCTAGAGGGTTGGGTTGGATAAAGGGGTTTCCAAACAAGTCCAGGTTCTCCAGACACAGTTTACGGAAGGCACTGGGCAGCACTGCCAAATGGTTATGTGCCGCCGACAGAAACCTCAGTTTTGAGAGTCGGCCAATGTGGAATGGTAAACAAACGAGCTTGTTGTCATCCAGTTTGAGGTTCACAAGTTCTCTGAGCTGGCAGAACTGAGCGGGCAGGGACTCCAGCCGATTCTGGCTGAGGTCCAGGTGCTGGAGGGTCCGCTGCAGGGTGGACAGGCAGAGGGCCTCGCTGAAGGCTTCCAGGTGGTTGTTGTAGAGTATGAGCTCAGACAGGCAGCTGAGATCACCGATGGTAGCAGGGAGTTTCTTGATGTGGTTGTTGCTAAGGTCTAGCTTGCGGAGAGCTGCAAAACAAAACCAGTGAGAATGACCACAAGTTAAAGGATTACTCTAGCTACCAATTAATGCCCTCCCATTAAGCTGTGTTATTTTCTCAACCTTTGAAGAGCTCCCTCCACCAGTGGCACCAAGATCGAAAAGTGGCATTTGGGATACCACTTTTGTGTCAATGGTGCATGCCGATTCTGTAAAAGCACATGGCGATTCTGAAGTGGTATGTCACTCATTCCCCAGTGACAGATACCATGTCCCAACAGGGAATGACGCTTCAGTGTAACATAGCAAATATTCCATAAATAAATGAATGCAGTGTTACCATTCTTTTTGATCAAATGTTAGATTACGTGTGATAGTTCTGTAACACTGACTGAAAAGTGATTTAAAATCTCTGTAACCAAAGTGAACCCTAGAAAACACCTTAGCTAATATTTTAGCCTAGCCAACACAGCCAGGCTGAGTAATCAGTGATAGAAATATCAATCTACCTGACCAAAGAGTTGCACTTGCATTGTTTTCACATGTTTAATTGTACAATGTGGTCATACATTGGATCACATAATATGGTTAAGAAAAGTGCTGCATATGTTTATTAAGCTATCACAATAAAAATATAACAATAATACCTTTGAGGGACAGCATCCGCATGTCCACACGTGACAGTTTACAGTAGGAGACCTGCAGCTGCTCCAGAGAGTAGGGGAAGTTGGAGGTGAGGGGGTAGTCCTTCTTTGAGACAATCGTGAGTTTCTTTTTAGGGTGCTCTACATCCCTGGCGCGAACAGGAGTGAGTGTGGAGAGGGGAAAACTGCTTGTGTCACTTCCTTGGTCTGCCAGACGAGCAGCTGACAGGAAGTTCTTCAAGCTATTTGCATCAGCCTAAAGATAGACAAGAGTGATGAATCAGTAGAGACTCAATTTCTTGTCAGGTGGTCTTGAAATATCAAACCTGAATTCAGTGGCCAAAAATATCTTGAATGAACATGATGAACATTTTGTGACCTAGTATTTAAAGTACAGGATGCAATTTTGTGAATACTTGTACAGTCCAGTACAGTTTAGACCTACAGCCACAATTATTTATAAAATTGTGGCCTGGTAAGTTAATTGGATTTGATTTTAGACATTTACAGTATTGGTGTTCCTGGTTTTCCTGCCTTATATGCTGTCAAGTCAGTTTGTGGGTGTATGAGTATGTTTCTGACAATAGAATTTAGGTGAAAGGTTGTTACTGCTTCAAAACAACCAGAAGAGCTTTAGGGCAAGTGGAAACAGTGAGTCTGCGATAGTGCAGTCAAAAACAAATGTGTGTCTAGTTGATACATGAGTGACTGGACAGCCTGATTCCTGCCTCCGAGTTCTGTGTTGTTCTCTCCTCAGATGTCAACTCTAACCTAAAATGAGTAAACGCCACTGTGAGTCTGTTCACTGATCAAAAAACAAAAAAAAAAAAAAAAAAACTGCCAATGTAATTTTTCCAGTCATCTGTGGAGGAAATGAGAGTGGAGCTGCATTATAAACCTGAAAGTCTTGTTCCTTATTTTCATACTTTCATACTCGCTGCATGTCGTACCTTGCTCAAACAAATGTCAACAGCAGGTTCCTTTAATCTCACAGTGGCCTTGCCTTCTTCGACAAACCATGTGAAGAATTTTTCTATGTTGTCTTTTAGCTGTAAGAGAAAGATGGAAAATGTGAGTAGTGGGAATAATACATTTCACAACATTAGGGATGGTAGTGAGTCATTTACTCTTTCTGGAAGTGTAGATGAGTAAGATTTTTGAAATCAGAGGCAGAAATTTCAGTGGAGCCACTGAACACAGCATTTTAGACAAGTGTTTTAGCATTTTTAGGCTGATGGATGCACTCCAATCGGCTGATGTGTCTGCGGGCAAATAATGTGTGTGCTACTACTGTGTGCAGTGAAAGTATTTACAGCTCTCTGTTGTGTCTCAGGAAAATGCAACCGCTCAGTGTACTAAAACAGGGCTCCAGACTGCGAGTGATTTTGTGACCAAATGTATTTAAAGGTACGACTGAGGTTTTTCAAAGCTTGCCGTGGGTGCGACTGCAAAATATACAGGTTCGTCAATCAGAGATTCGGGTGAATTTAATCTTTCTGTTAGCACAAATACAGAAATACAAAGATATCTTGTGCAAAATTCACACTGGGATAGAAACATAAATTTGCTATCTAAATGACAAAGGTTTACACCGTTTCAACAGTAACATGCAAAAGGAGAAGTCAACACACTACACAATGTTTAATTAACTTGCATGTTTTAGAAACTAATTTTCACATGAAAACTTTTTCAGCTCCTCGTTCTTATATTTCCATGATGGATATTGTTAATCTACTGCCTTCAGATGTTAAGTTAAATGCTCAAAGCGACGTTAAATTAGTAAATCAACCAAAATATGTGATGAGAACTCCTTGACAATCAGCAAATGTAGTACAGAAGACCGAAAGAGCACTAACGACAACAAAAATCACCTTGTACTTCGATCCTGCTCTGTCTTTAGCTGTGCAGATCATCATGTAGATGTTGCTGCGTTGACTCGACTTGTCCAGATGCTTCCCGATGGAAAGCACCGCTCTCGTCCCTTTCCCTCGACTTTTCATCCCAAACGTAGGGAGCATCCGATTCACCACCTCGACATCACACTGCAGCTTCATCGCAACCAAATACTAAAGACTAAAGTCCAGCTTGCCGACTCAGGCTGAACTAAAAAGGGTTTAAAGGCATAACAGATGTAAACGTCTGCGAAAAAGTAACAGTAGCTAGTAACATTAACTTACGCGCTGGCGACACAAGCAAAACACACATCTGTGCTCGTCATGTATGTCAACAACAGACCAGCCTTTTCTTTTTACAACGCTACAACTGTACGTGAACGGCTGCGAAAAACCGGAAATGCAATCGACAGAAAGCGGCGACTTTCGAGAGTGGGCGCAGTTTTCTCTTCAATATCTTTAACCAAAAGCAATAGCAAATAGCATATAGCCGTTGATAGCTCTCGATCGACAGATCAGTGACTAGCTGTTGTTAGCACGATCCCGCGCGCGTGGGGAAGTGACGTCACTGTGGCAGTTGTTAACTAGGCTCGAGCACACATTGGATAGGAAGGTGCCATACCCCCCGCTCGGTGTCAAATTACACTTTAAAAAACAACATGTACGAGAGAAAGTTATCCGGCACAAATATCAACAATAACACAAAACACTAGTCTGGAATAGTGTTACGTTAGACTACATATTATATACACACACACACGCACACACATACATAATTTAATAAAAGCATTTCAACATTGTTGTCCAAATGGGGCCAGTTTGAGGTACTTTATACACTAATGGATAGATTAATCATATTTTAAAATAGAAAATCATAAAACTGATGAAAATATAGACCTAAAGCAGAGAGAAGAATTTTTCCAAAACTCTTCTATATACAACTGAAAGCTGTTTTTGTTTTACTTGTTAATGTTATTGCTTTTCTAAATCAGAAAGCTTAAAAATGGTGTTCAAAACCCAAATTGTTGGTTTAAATTATATTAACTTTGCTATACTAATAATTTGCTATCAATCTATAGCCTCTCAGTGACACAACAGAAACGTAATGCCTCACCTCCATTAAAGTAGATTGAAGAAAAAAAAAAAAACAGCACTCCTTGTAATCCATAAAAGAGGATGTGGCACTTTGCTCAGGTGAAGCACTGCAGTTTAAATGATGCTGAAATTTGTCATTTGTCATGTAAGATTTATTTGAACGACTACTCCTTCTGTCTTGCAACTCCAATGAACAGTTTTTGTTTGAAGTCACAAAATTTTAATGTATTTTTAAGCATTTACACTTCATTCCCTCCAACCTGGCAAGGCACAGGTAAACCAATTCATATACTGTACCTCACAAGTCACCTGTCTGATGTTAAATTATTATATTGCTTACAGTTTATCATTCACTTAGTGTTTTCCTCTCAGCGTATCTCTCATGAATAAATACTTTGTATTGTCCAATAAAAAACAAACAAACAAACAAAAAAAAAAACAGAATATTCATATTTTTGGTTTTACTTTGCTGTTGATTAATAACCTAAAAGACAACACCTCTGGTAAGATCATGCAGCTTTTCTTTTTCTTTTGTATTATGTGCCTGTCAGCGGGCCAGTTTTCAGGAAGAATCTCCACACATAACACACATTCAAGGTCAAGCACCGGTGAAGTTTAGTTTCCCTTCATTTAAAAAAAAAATAGGAGTGATGAAAGCAGTGGGCTGCTCAGATGTGTCGTGTATCAAAGACATATATGCACCATTTTACCAGACTATTTACATATTCCTGACAGGTTGTTTATGTATATTTAAGTTTCTATCACTTAATGTTTCTCATGGAATTTCCTGGAAAAGCAGTTTCTCCATCATTCTTTATAACAAATAGTGAACATAGATTATTAATAACATAACTATTGTCTCATTCCTAATCAATCTTGATGTATCATTGAGTTTTTTTTTGTCCTTTATAGAGTCGTCTCTGCACAGGATGACCCTCTCCGTATATAGTAACGCCTCACTTCCCTCCCTCCCTCACTGCCAAAGCCCTCAGACCTATGCACAATGAGAGCTGGGAAGAATCGAGCATCTCTATACGTGGGTGGACTGTCACTTAGAGCCAGCTGGCTGGAATTGGACCTGCAGCACTGCTCATCCATGCAGCAGGGGCCCGTCAGGTTGCTGCTGCGGCTCCTCCACAGAGCCAAGGTGCGATGGGAGCCGTACATGCGGCAGAGAGAGAAGCGAGACGTGTTCAAGGAGAGGTGAGAGTGGAGCAGCGTTCCCCGGCAGGAGAAAATGGAGGAAGAGCTAGAGCTGGAGATGGTCCTCCTCCTGCCTCCGGTTGGCTCACAGCATCGCTCGCAGTCGTCCTGGCCTTGCAGAGTGCCGTAGCTCTGAGCAGCCTGGCTGCTGTCCAACAGGAAGCAGTTGGAGGAAGAGGTGTAGTCGCTGTCTTGAAATGAGCTCAAGTCTGCTGTGCTCATGTTGATCAGCACGGCCTCTGAGTAGCTGGGAATCACCTGGCAGTTGCAGCGTATGTGCCACTCCATTTCAGTGCTATCCAGCGTGTCTACTCTTGGAATAACATAACCAGTATTAGTCCCCACAGGCCTGTCCTCATCCAGAGGTGAGGGGCTGCTGTGGCTGTACTCTAACCCAAATAGTTTCTCTATGCGGTAGTGCACATAAGCTGTGCGGTACTCAATGAGCACTCTCAAAGGCCAGGACAGCATGAGCAGAGCCGCCAGCCAGAAGGCAACCTGGGAGTTATACCAAGGCATCCTGTCTGGGTCTACACAGGCTATGAGGTTTTCTCTGAAGTCCATATTTTTAAGCTGCATCCCCTCCCTGGCCTCCATGTAATCATCCAAACCCTCAATTTCAGAGAAGAAGCCGGCTCTCTGGTTGAGGTAATCATTTTCTGGACCAGCCTCAGTGAAGCTGAAACACTTGGTGAAGCACAGGCGTGTTGTTGGGTGTCTCTCCAAGCCTCTGAGGTCACGTGACATGTCTTTCATCCCACAGCGGCTGTAATCAAACTCACCCTCAGCCACATGTGTGTTCACTCTCTCGTGATAAACCTGTGTGGTGGTGTAGGGATCCCCGTTACGATAGCGAGTGACTTGCCGAGACCGTCGGACAAAATGGTAGCTGATGGCCTTCCACCATATACAGGGCTGGGCCTGACGCATCCGCAGCACGCGTTCATACACGCTCTCCACGTCTGCTTTGCACTGCAGCTCGCTCCTGGCTCTGCAGTGCCAGCACTCCACCATATATAACACATAGAGCATGAACAGAAAGGCCAGAGGGATGTAGATGTAGCCGTCAGAGCAGGGGCTGTCGTGGTAGATCATTGAGTGTCCTCTCATCCCTGAGGACCCATGCAGGGAGGAGGTGAAGGAGGCTGTAAAGGAGGAGGTGAGGGCAGAGTTGAAGCTAATCTTGGTGACCCGAGTCAGCTGACACCAGGCTACCACACCCAGGCAGCTGTACATGAGCAGAGAGAGCAGCAGGCAGCGCCAGTGAGACTCCCGGCAGACACAGGCACCCAGGGACTGCTTCACTGGATGCTGCTGCAGAGATAGAGAGAGAGACAGGAAAGTAAGGAGAGTAGAGATAGAGAGAGAGACAGGAAAGTAAGAAGGAGAGTGAGGGTAATGAGGAAAAAGCACTTAGAGCAATGAGGCCCTGAAACATGGAGGTGATATCGTGACTTGCAGAAGAAATGCAAATTAATGTGGTCGCACTATAAATTACTAAGCTTTTCCTTACCAAGCACAAAGCTCAGTGGAATTCATTTAAACCATGTTGCATCCCGGCGAGGCTGTGTGTCTGTGCAGCTGAAAGACTGACGCGTTTTCACACATCTGTCTCTGAAATGTATTTATATTGCTCACAAGCAAATGTACTTGGTTGTAAAGCTGTCACATTAATATTAGAGGGTACCATATTCATTTTTTAAAACATAAACCCATAAAATGGGCTAAACAAACCTTTTTGATAAGTATCCCTATAATTTGGGTGTTCAAGTATTTGTAACAAAGGTATGTACTGAGAGGGACATTTTACAGTGTAAAAAGTAATATTGTCAGTTCTTTACAGAATTAACTTATTGGTAGATGTATCCTTCACTACACACCTGTCTGTGATAAGCCAATTATTTTTAGTCAGGCAAGTACAAATGTCCATACAAATAACCGTGTAGCTGTTAGACGAAGCGGGAGGACCATCAAGACAGATTAATTCCCTTAACCATTGGAACTAAATGCCTAACACCTAAAACCGATCGACATCTCTGGCCATTACTGACCTAATGGAGGACATAACAAGTGCTATGGATGAGAGGAAATACACGATGGGAATATTTATTGACCTAAAAAAAGCATTTGACACAATCAATCATGAGTTATTAATGGATAAGTTAGAAAAATATGGGATCAGGGGATTGGTTTTGAATTGGATTAGAAGTTACTTGACACAGAGGCGTCAATTTGTGAAGTTGGGTGAATACCAATCGAGTGAGCTGGACATTGTATGTGGAGTGCCTCAGGGTTCTGTTTTGGGACCTAAATTATTTATACTATACATTAATGATATATGCAAGGTTTCTGATTTAGTGAAAGTGGTTTTGTTTGCTGATGACACTACCATATGGGCATCGGGTGAAAACCTACAGCAACTTTCTGGAAGGGTTACACAGGAACTTGAGAAGATAAAGAAATGGTGTGATAGTAATATACTATCTCTGAATTTAGATAAAACAAAATTTATGGTATTTGGGAATCGCAGACTAGACAATGAA